CAGCATATCCCTCCCCGTGTACTCAGCATATCCCTCCCCGTGTACTCAGCATATCCCTCCCTGTGTACTCATGCATATCCAACACCTTGCTTCCCTCTCTATGGCCACCCTTATCCAACCCTATCACCTCTGAATTACCTCAAAGCCTCCTAATTGGTTTCCCTACTTCCCTTCTGTCCTTCCCACAATCCAATTTTTATTCTTTTTTTTCCCATACCAATTCAAGTTTTATTTTTTATTAAATGATAGCTGTATATATTAATGCAAACATGGGGTACAGTGTAGTGTTTTCATATATCCAATTTTTATTCAACAGTGAAATGTGAATCTTATTATGTCACTCCTGTGTTTAAAATTCTCCATACATAACTATTTCAGTTCCACTGTTACTGATAAAACCTATGAGTTTAAATGTGACTTTTCTATAGATCATTATTTAGACTACACAGCTTGATATGCAGTATTTTACTATAGTATTTTCTGAAACTTCAGACTGCATTTCCTTTTTGTTCTGTGTTGTTTTACAAGTTTGCAGAGGTGGTGTTTTAAATTGTCTGGGTTATTATTAATTTTTAAATTTTTTAAACTAAGAATATTGCCTGTACTTCCATTTTTAAAAAAATGTTCTACATTTCAATGTATTTTGGTTCTGCTCATTTGAAATGTCACAAATTAAAAGTGAATTAACTCTGTAACTACTGTATTTCTACAAAAAGATAATCAAGTTTCAAGCGGGCATGTACAAATCAACCATTTCATTAATGAGTACCATTAGTTTCTCAATTAAACTGAAAATAACGGGACTGACTTACCATTGGTTTGCCATAAAATGGAAATCCTTGTAACTGCCTCAAAGCATTCGTGGACGAACCCAGCTCCTTAAATATAACAAAGGCCTGCCCCCTCATCTTCATGGTCTTTAAAGCCACAATGTCTACCACGTGACCAAACTGGGAAAACAGGGCATATAGGGATCTCTTCAATTCTGTCCAAATTGGAGGAGAAACAAGATAACTGGTGAATGAAACAATGACAAAGGCCTTCCTAAAGTAACACTGCATTGAGGACCCCCTGGCCATTCATCCATCCATTTAAGTAGTCTGTCACATACATCTATGAGTAAAAACTGACTGAAAACATTGTCAGTTCTTATCTATTCTTATTTTTAAAAAGCCTTAAAATCTTTATATAAAATAGAGATGACTAGATGAGAAGTTTTGAAGCAGTCCAATTTCTGAGACAGTAGGTGGGGTGTGGTGGTTAATGCTTATTATAATCATAGCATTCTGGGAGGCTGAGGAGGGCAGATTACCTGAGCTCAGAGAGACCAGGCTGGACAAGAGTGAGAAAGAGCCCCGTCTCTACCAGCCAAGTATTGTGGTGGGCTCCTGGAGTCCCAGCTACTTGGGAGACTGAGGCAAGAGGACTGAGACCAAGAGACTGCGGTTGCTATGAGCTGTGAGGACACCATGGCACTCCACCGAGGGCGAAGAAACAAACAAAAAACCAAAAAAAAGACAACAGTGAATAAATAGATTTTAGTTGTAAACAAACTCACCTTCTTTTTTAATTTTGTCATTCATATTGTTGATATAAATTGTATGATTTGGTCTGATATCCATGTTTGAGCTAAATTCTTCAAATAGCCTAACGAGAAAGTAAATAATCTGTTAAATCATACTTAAGTATGGCATAAAGGCACAACACAGAGGTTATGATCACATCAATATTCTTTCAATCCCAAACATCAGAAAAACATCAGTTTGGCTAGGCACTAATACCTCTCAGCACCAGCCAATCTCCCTTTTTACCCAAAAGGAGAACAGTTTCTCGGTCTCAAAACTTGGTGGAATACCACACCTGGCCAGATTTTAATACAATTTAATCAACACATTTACTTTTACACCTACTTTTCATTAAGTGATACTGTCTTTCCATCTACCTAATGAATTAACTTTTCTTTTTTTAATGAAATCATTTAAAAATTAAGATTTGAAGAAAAATAAACTGCCAATGTACATCCAATAAAAATCATTAGGTAGAACATTAATGAAGCTGCTTGCCAACCAATTCATTAGGTGCACTTAATACTTTCATACCTATTAATTTGTACACACCATCACCAGCTTAGAGCTCACAGAGAGCAGTGAGGCAGGATGGTTTAGAGTTCAGATTCTATACCAGCCAAATCCTTTTGGATTTGTACTCAAATCCTTTTTACTAGTGCTTGACTGACAGCCAATTCCTTAATCATTTGGGTTCTCATCTGTAAAATGGGAACCTATCCAATAAAACACAGGACACTAAGTGAGGGTTCTAGAACAGTTTTTGCATTAGCAGCAAGCACTTAGAGTAGCTATTATTACTGATAATATCAAGTTAAGGACCTGCCTAAGGTGACACCACTAATTAGCACCAGGCCTGGGAATTCAGCCCTTTCCTTCTTCGTGCCTTCTCCACTTTTCTTTTACAGCCCCCCAGGCTATTTCATTGCTTACGCTGTTTTAGCTGCAAGGTATGAACTTGTATTATTTCCTTGGATGCCCCACATATTCCTTTCACAAATACTTACGGAGCACCCACTGTATGTGAACAGGATTGAATGAACTACAATGGAAGGGGCTATATTTGTGCAGGTTAACGGGTGAAAAGTAATGGTTCTCAAAGCCTTATGATCCCCTAAATTGAAATCTGGAGAAAGGTCAAAGGTTTCAAAGTAGACAATGAAAAGGAAATAGAGAGACAGAGATCAAACTGCAGGCAGAGAGATCAGAGGGGAGGCTCTTCTAACATCTCATGCAAGGTTTGACGGTGAGCTGGACTATTTGCAGGGTCACCCGTAATTGCCCACCCTCGCCCCAATCCAGCAGGGAGCCGCTGGAAGGCACCTGCAAGCGTACGGTGAACTGCAACGCCTCGCACAAGCAAAGGGACTTAAGCAAACCTCAAGCTTCCCGCCTCTCCAAACACACGCACATCCGCCCAAGGCCCCGGCCTCAAGTCCGGGGGGAGCTGCCCTGCGATTTCCCCACGCCAACCGGTACCACCGGAAAAGAGCCCGAGTTCGCGGCCTCGCCAGGACAGCGCGCCAGGCTCCGTCCCTCCCTCGCCGCGCGCCACGCCGCCCGCTCTGCGAACCCCGAGCCCAATGCGTCCCGACCCACCTTCGCGCCTCCTGCACTCCGGGCTCCAACAGTGGAGAGTTAGCTGAAGAAAAAACGAGAGAACCGACCCAGCGAGGCCTAAGTCGTCTTCCGTGAGAACAGCCGGAAATGGGTCCCGGCACCGGAAGTAGCTCTGCCACGCTCCTCAATCGAACGCCGACAAGTCGAGAAGCCGAGTGCGGAGTCGATCGATGCCTCCCGGCCTCTGGCAGTCGCGGCTGGGAATCTCTCTGCGCGTGCGCAGACCTGGCGGGCGGGAAGAAGCGTGAGGAAAAGGGAATTGAGAAAGGGAGGAGGGCGCGGTGGCTTGCGCGTGTAATCCCGGCACTGTGGGAGACTGAGGCGGGAGAATTGCGTTAGTTCAGGAGTTTGAGACTTCTCTGAGCGAGAGTGAAACCCCCGACTCATTAAAAAAATAAAAAACCCAGGCGGGCGCCTGTAATCCCAGCGGCTTCTGGAGGTTGAGGCAGTAGGAAGCCCACAGCCCGAGTCTCAGGTTGCAGTGAGCTATGATGCTCCAGGCAAAGGGTGGGACTCTGTCTCAACCAAAAAAAAAAAGAGAGAGAGAGAGAGAAAGGGAGGAGGGGGCTGGGGATAGTGCAGGGCCGTGCCGTGCAGGGATAGGGAAGGGGAGTCAATTTCCCCACACAACGGTGCCTTCCCTGTTTCCAGATCCTATACGATTTAACAGTGCTGCCCCCAGTGCAGACTCCCCGGGCAGGTGACCGGGGTCCTCCTCGTATAGGCTCTAGCAGCCTCGGTTTACATCACCTGTAGTATAGCCAGGGCCCCAAGTCTCTGATTCCTGGGACTCGGAGGGAACTCTTCCCCCAACCCTGTGCTGATGAGCTTGAATCGCAGAGGCAGCCCAGACAATCCCAGGGCAGACGGAACTGGTGTCTCTTTCTTATTTTCTCTCATCTCTCACCAGGTAGAGCAACCACGTTCCATTAGTACCTGCTCACCCAAAAGATCATCTGGTTCAACTCACTCAAGAAAAACACGAATTCCCTACCACTCTTCCCACTCTATCCACTCCTCACAAAATGCCCGGAGTTTTCCAGGGTGATCCAAAGAGTATTTACGCCAACCTGAACGAGATTTCCAAAAAGTGCGGGGCTTCATTTATCCATTCATTAAGTGTATGTAAAGCATAAACTAGCGTATAAAATAGTGGTTAAGAGTCAAGGGAATCTAATCTTGTATCCTCCCCTTGACTAATCTCTCCGACCTTCACTTTCCTTATCCGTAAGACAGGATCCTACTGACTGTGAATATTTAATGAGGTAAACGTAAAGTGGTAACACATTCCGGGACACGAATGGCTCATAAATGTTATTTCTATATGCTAGCTATGACTTCAGCATATGAGTGCGGGGACTAGGAGGTAAATAGGTTCATTTTATCAACCGAGAATTTTTATTTTAAAAGAACACCTAAAGTCGCAACAACTTAAAAATAATGTAAGCTGCTTCAGGGATTTGTGTCTGTACTTTGTTCATTCAAGTATTCTCAGTAATTAAAAAAGTAACTGATAATAAATATGTTTGGAGTGAATTAAATATCTTAAAAATTAGGCAACAGGGTGGCGCCTGTGGCTCAAGGAGTAGGGCACTGGTCCCATATACCTGAGGTGGTGGGTTCAAATCCAGCCCCAGCCAAAAACTACAAAAAAAAAAAAAATTAGGCAACAGCAAAATAGATGTGATATTTTATGAAGATGCACATAAGTGTAGAAAATCATGTTCAATGATCACAGAAAATCATTCTTTTATTATGTAGATATGAAAATTAGAGAAATGTAAAACATCCTGTCTCAGTTAAGGAATTATGAGTGCATCTTTAACAAAAGAAAATACTGAGTTAATATAAAACAATTTCTAAATAACAAAGGACAAGCTGCTCTGCATATTAGTATGGTTATCTGAGCAATTAATTAATTCTGTTTGATGATAATGACGATGGTTAAAATATTTTACTGAAAATGAACTATAATCTGGCTGTCTTGCATCTAGCCAAGAGCTCATAACTATTAAAAGAACATAAGATATGACTGCTCAAAGACATTCCACCTGGGAAAAGAATTCCACAGGGAATGCAAAGGCCTGAAGACAGACTGTCCATTGCATTTCTTTAACAACTAAATTACAGCTCCTGTACATTACCATGGGAAGAGGAAACTGTCTAATGCCAACTCAGTGGCAACAGTTGTCCCCTCTTAGTGCATTTTCTTGTCCTTCAGCAGTCACACTAGGTTTTCCAGTAACCTGTTAATGGTCCTCAGTAGTTTCCTAAATGATTTTGATAAACCACTAATTGAGAACAGTGCTGGAAGGGAATGGAATGAAGGGGAGAGAAGAGCTTTTCTAGTCTTGTGAGAAGCCTTTGTAGCCTGGTTACATAATTATATTAAGAATGTTACAGCAGTTAAACTTTGGTCACATGTACTGTAAAACAACCACCATTCCTGGATTTGGAGAACATTTGCCTAGATATTGCAAGGTTGGAAAAGTAAGCATCACTTGTACTCAATACCAGTTTGAAACTAGGAAGTTAACATTCACAGACCCACAGGAGAGAAAAGCTCAACTAAACTCAAGAAGAGAGAAAAAGGAGAGAAGGTTCCGTAGCTTCCCACCCAAGGATGCATGGATTTATGACACACTCCCTGGGCGTAGAACTTGAGGACACCTTGATTTTTACGTGCCCTATGTAAATTATATAACTTGTTTGTTCCCCCATATTAACCTGAAATTTTAAAAGGACAAGAAAAAACCCCAATCATCATTTCTCTATAACCATAAACCTCTTAAGGGTTGAATCACAAACCAGATGTCAAAAACTTGTGGTTTAAAAACAATAGAAGAGAAAAATGGGCTTCGTTGGTGTTCTGCTCCATCTGGTCTCTCAAGTTTCAGCTGGGCGCCATGATTTACTTTCCTCTGAAACAAGTTTTTAATCAAACTAAACACAGAGGCTGCTATCCAAGCTTCATGTATCTACTGATGATAAAAACCTGTTTATTTTAGGGATAGCAGAAAAATTACTACAAACGGGAATAAAACCGTGTCAAGATGTCTAAATGATAAGGATGATAACTGAGGCGTTTTTTAGTTGACTCTGAATACACATATATTTTCCTACCTTATCTGCTCATGTTTTATGTTTCTCATTAAATATTTCCAGTATCTTGCTGCAGTAGTTCTGAGAAGGGCCCATGTTTAAAGGAAAATGCATCATAAAACCGTGGTGGATAAATTTTGTCTTTTATATTAGGCAGAGCCGCAGACTGTGTGGCTGTCTGTTTGTAGCTTCTTTCTCTCCCCAGGTGGTGATTACATTAAGAAATTTATGTAGAGTGAAATTATTTTAACAACGAGCCTTAAAAAATCTAGGCATTATTGTCAAGCACCAAATCAGGTTTATATTTTCCTAGGCCGTTGGCATTATCTTGACTAAAACTTCCTAAAAAATCACCTTTCCCCCACTCAGGGAGGAAATCATTTGGGCCAGTTAATTGTGCTCATTTCACTTCAGTACTACTATTTTATTCCTTGTAAATACATCCTTGTTTTAGGGCTGAGAGGAACAAAGCAGACATGACTATTGCCTCTGATGTGAACTACTGTGTTTATGTTAGTAATGGTGTGTCATTCATGTGCTCCAAAATCTCCTCTCCTCAGAATGGGTGGAATCTGACTGGGCTGTCCCAACAGGCTATGAGAATTCTGTAAAGTTCAGAAACAGTAATTTGCCTCTGAAGACCTGCCAGCCAATCCAAAGCAATGTGGGAGGAGACACAGGACACTGTGCTACTGTTGCATATTTTGAAACTCGTAGATTATGCTCAGTGCAGCATCTTCTGCCCTGAGATCAGCTAACGTAACATCCCACAGCTACCATTCGCTCTAAGAGCAGAAAATTAAGATGCCAGTCCAACAAGGCCTCCCTCAACAAGCAAAGTATTATGCAGACAAAATTCTTTTTTAAAATTATGTAATATTTATTGACTTCTCTGAAACAGGCCAAAATTCATATGGTTAATAGAACTTGCTATGCTAACGCATTGCTGAACATAACAAATTTCTTCACAAGTTAGTCTAAAATTGAAGTCATTCATTTTACTCAGAGGAATAAACATGTGAATGTTACATTTAGGTGCTAAAACTCAGCTTACAAATATAAGAAAAATATCAAATAATACACATCACATTTCTAGTTTACCAGAAAATTGGTGTATAACAAAAATAAGTGTGACACTTGTGCTTAACACTGCAGAGAAAATTCTTCAATACAGCAGATTTTGCTTTTCTGTGACTTACTGCAGTAAATGTGCTTGAGTCTTAAGTCCTATGACAGTTTGAAAATCCCAATTTTAAAAAGAAAACTTAAAAAAAAAATGTTGAGCCACAATTGTGTCATTTCAAACATGATTTGTCATCATTGGTACCACAGGTACCCTAATCCAGTGCTTTTTCCAGTGCTACTGTGTATGTGGGTCACCTAGGGATTTTATTTATTTTATTTTATTTTATTTTTTTATTTTTTTGAGACAGAGCCTCAAGCTGTCCCCCAGGGTAAAGTGCCATGGCATTACAGCTCACAGCAACCTCCAACTCCTGGGCTCAAGCGAGTCTCCTGCCTCTGCCTCCCAAGTATCTGGGACCACAGGTGCCTGCCACAACACCCGGCTATTTTTTGGTTGCAGCCGTCATTGTTGTTTGGTGGGCCTGGGCTGGATTCGAACCCACCACTTTAGGTGTATGTGGCTGGTGCCTTAGCCACTTGAGCCACAGGCACCAAGCCTTATTTTATTTTTTTAGACAGAGTCTCACTATGTCACCCTCAGTAGAGTGCCATGGCATCGTGGCTCACACCAACCTCTAACCCTTGGGCTCAAGAGATTCTCTTGCCTCAGTTTCCCAAGTAGCTGGGACCACAGGCACCTAGACAACTCCTGGCTGTTTTTTGTTGTTGTTGTTGTTGTTGCAGCTGTCATTATTCAACTGGCCCAGGCTAGGTTTGAACCCACCAGTGTATGTGTCTGGCGCTGTAATCACAGTGCTACAGGCACCAAGCCCACCTAGGAATTTTATTAAAATC